TCAACACAAAACAAATTCTCTTTTATATAATCATGAGAGAAAGCTTTCAGAGGAGAGCCCCATCTCCATCTCTCTGGAAAGTGCTTTCAGCCTCCCTGCTGCCCTACGTCCTCTGTAAATGGCCTCACCAATCATTGCAATCATTTTAAAGACTCACTGTCCCATGAAAAGAACAATCACAATTAGATTGTGCAGTGCACAGTGAAATATGTCCATCAAAAAATTTAAATTTTTTTTGTAATTTTTTATATTTAAAATATCTTACCATGGTTCATACTGCCCCTTTATGAAGTTTTCAATTGCTCTTGCTGAGGCAGGTAAATGCCTCGGCCAGAGTGGGAACTGTCACCCTAGATAAGAGTACATGTGTTACATCATTCAAGCAACACAGTTCACCAAAACCAAATGCAGGCCCTAAAGTGTTGTGTCCGGTTTAATAAATTGTCAGTGACTTTGCACTTATGACTTATGGTCACTGTACATCCACAATGTTGCAATGCAGAGTTTTTAGTACAGTGTACGTCCAGGAAACTTGGTACCATGACATGTTTATGTTTGAGGGGGTTCAGTGGGTTTTTATGCACAATTTCATTACAATAGTCCCTGTGCCAACTGGTGGCGCCGGGGCCTACTAATGTAAAACAAACCTTATATAAATCATGCTAATACTTCCGTAAGAGAGCGTGTAGACCAATCAGAAAGGAAGGGGGAGGATGCTTGGGTTGTTTTTTTTTTTCAAATCAAGTACCTCTCTGTCCTCTCTTCTGACAACTCTAGACAATCACTTTAAAGACACATGTTAAAATATTGCACAACACCTGGATCGAAGTTAAAACATAGGCACCCTGACAAACAGATGCCCCTTTCATGGGTTTGCAACGTGTGAGAGCAATTGTGCATTCTCCCGCCATGTTGAAAACAGGTTACACACGTGAAGCGTTTCCCCTTCTTCAGCACTGGAGCATGATTCCCATCACTGACAATATTCGGATGCAACCTGAAAGGCAGACATAAACATCCATTTGTTGCACACTCTGAAACACAAATGATCTTGGAACATCATACCAATAACTATGGTCAGGATCGACTCTGAAACTGTGAATAGGAAACATCGGTGAGCTTACATCACATAAATGCCTAACTAATTCTCCACAGTTCTTGGAAAACATGTAAGAGAGTTATGGTTTTTCTCTCCTTATTCCCAATTTTAAACGAATGCAAAATGACTTGGGCATATTATATTGTTTATAATATACTATGTACCTATTATGACTAATGTACCTGACATGTCGATGGCACAGGGGACGTCGTAGAAGGAACCCATACAAATTGCTTTACCTCTGCAATGTATCGTGTCACTTCGTAAAAAACATTTCTAGTCAGGGTGATGTGCAAAGCTTATTTCATTATACACTGTAACCTGGAGGGACGGGCCGTAAAAAAAATAAAACACGTAGTTGGTTGACACTTACTGGTTGCTACGGTCGCCATGGCTTCTCTTCAACGGATATACTTGCAGAAGTTCAAGTGGATTCAAAAATTCATGTAGTAGGCGTGTCCGGGTAGTGAACGTCAACTACCGACACCCTACACTACGACACGCCTCCCGTACGTGCAAGCCGCAGACAGACCCTCTCGTTCCTTCTCGCTGCGCCCCCAGAGCCTTCCCTCATAAGTGAGCATGGAGGGTAATTTGGGCAGGCCCGTCCCAAGGGGGTGCGAGGCCTGTGCGAACAACGAAACCGCGAGGCCCTGCCCTGAACACTTTTTTCCAGATCCCTGAGGAAAGTTTTTCCGTTATAATCTTTGACACATGAATTCAGCACCACCGTCGGCGCGTGCTTGACGAATCCGCACGCTCGTAACCGAGTTCTTCGCTCCTATGCAGCGTTTTGGCGCGCGCACGAACACACGTCACACACACTCTAACTGCAATATTGTCGCGGTCTATTTAGCTGACATGTCTCTTCCGGTCCTGTGCAAAATAGTAGAGCAACTCAAAAGAGTGAACCAAAAGGAGTCTATTTTTCTCTAATAGTTAATTTGGGGCAAAATGCGCCAAAAGCTATTGAGGCGGAGTCAATAATTATTATTTTCTCATCAAATAAACGTTTTTGCCATGCCTCCACACACTCTGACAACAAAACACTCCTCTCCTCCACACTACAACAACAAAATACTCTTCACCTCCTCCTCCACACACTCTGACCACAACAAAAACACTCCAGCTAGCTAAAGCTAGACAACAGTGTGTTTGCTAAGCTTTTAAAAATATTGTTTTTTTGATGTGATATTCGGACAAAACCATTGGCAATAGCAGCGCTCACGACACCTGTCACACCGCTGATCCTCCTCCACCTCCTCTGCACACACAAAGGGTCTGCTCCACTGCTCACACCTGTATCACTGCTCCTCTGCCTCCTCCTCTCCTCCCCCTCCTCTGCTCACACAAAGGGGTCTGCTGCCTCTGCTCACAACCTGTATCACTGCTCCCTCCTCCTCCTCCTCCTCCTCCTCCTCTGCTTCACACACAAAGGGGTCTGCTTCCTCTGCTCACACTGTCCTCCACTGCTCCCACCTCCGCGATAATGCCACTCTCCTACACTGCGATCATTCCCGTTACTTTCTTTGTATCTCACTCAGACCACCTGCTAAATTATCTGAACAGTTTTTTCGGAGGAACCCGTTCATACATACTGCCCGCGCGCCGTGCCAGTTACAAATCGCTTTGTGAAAATATTTGACTTTACTTGTAAAAAAAGTTTCTTTTGATCAACGAAATCAAAGAGTGTCCAGAGAAAGGGGTTTAGGGTTCCAAAATTTGGAGTGCAGTCTGCCCTTTGGGACCCGTGAACTAGTGTATTTATAAAATAAAATAAAAGGAAGGAAGATTGCGAGGACCCCCTGTTATTTTTTTTTTTTTTTTGGGGGGGGGTGGTGCGGGCCCGGTGGCGACGGCACAGTCGACAGCCGCTTAGGACGGGCCTGATTTTGGAGAGGGTTTAATCCAAGAGAGTGGCATTATTTTAATTTTCTACCTTCAACAAAAATGATAAAGAGGACCTGTAACATTGGTCCAAAGGCATGGATATAACACTTCCATTCAGTAGGTGGCAGTATACGGCAGAATATGATCTTAAGCCCGCCATTAAAGAAACCGAAGCAGCCTCCATCAGTCCTGCGCATGGCGCCTCGCTCAGCTCTTTGTCTCGCTCTGAGGAGTGGGATCACGTTTTTATCACTCTACATGATTTTCGGTTTAATAAATTAGAAACTTTGAATATCCAAAACATAAAATGTTATTTATGTTTTACAAAGCGAAATGTACAAGTCAGAGCCTTTTGAATCCATTTTTAAGTCCTGAAGTTTACAGTGATTGGGAAGACGGAAATGTTTAAGTGTGTCAGGCCTTAAGCCTAATGTTATTCTACTGTAGGTTTGATGTGGATAGTGTTAGTATTACTCTGTCTGCTAAATCCTGGACAATAGTTTTATGGATTCATTATTTTATAAGTCATTTCACTGGATGCGGGGGGGTAAATAAAGAACACAGTTCTTGTCGAAACATAGTTATTATTAAACAGCTTTTCAGAGCACAAACAGCAAAACAATAATAGTGGTAATACAATACGAGTGTATACTATCGTTTAGATTAAGTTATATATATGTTAGATATAAGTAGTATATATTTTACGATAGTCCACAGTCTCCTGTATATCAGTCTCTGAGCCAAACTGCAATTTTTCCTTCGAAGCACAAGCTCTCTGCTCCATAGTCGCCCTCGTCCATAGCTCCTGCTGCACAGCCGCTCCGTGCTCTCTTCTCAATACACAACACACACGGACAATCACAGGGAGCTTCCTTGCGCGACCCATTAAAGGAGCAATATGTAAAAATCTGGCCAAAGGTGGGTACTCGCAGTCACAGGTCAAATATTTTGTAGTCCTCTCTCACTCTCCCTGACTCAGTTTGCCAGATTCACACCAAATCCAGCAGCAAACTCAGGGAATTATTTACAGTTGGTTGTCCGCTCCATTCAACATGCCATGACAGCCGTGCTAATGCGAATGAATGTTTTGATTAATTTTTTTTTATATTATTATTGGACATTTGAGATAAAAACAAAAACAAAATAAAAGCTTAATGTAATATAACATTAGTTTATTGCAAAAAGAAATAAGCAATTGATGTCAAAATAGGAGTGGGAAGAAATGGATGTTGAACGTATTTCTTCACCGTAATCAACATCAGGGTTTGCTCAAGAGGATATCACACCTTACATTTTATTGTATTCCCTAACATGTAAAAGTCCCACAGTCACAAAGAGAGACCTAACAATATTTTAATTGGGGTACATGTTGGTCTTAAATGATTTATTTTTTACAATTAAGCATATAATCTGCAAAAAACTCTTGACCTTGCATCTTTTACCGTTTTTAGAGCAATCTGTCAGTAGAATGTGATAACAATGCATTAAATCAATACAAAAAGACATAGCCCTGGATCGATACCCGGGTTCCCTGCAACGTAAAGCGCAAAACAGTTTAGAACCACTAGAGTCTAGAGGTTCCCAAAGTGGGGTCCTGACCCCCCCGGGGGGTCGCGGGAACCCCTGGGGGGTTCGCAAATGATTTCCTTCCACACAAAAAAGACTATAATTATATTTTAATAACTTTAGTAATTTTGTCCCCATCATTGCAGCGTCAAGCAAAATCATCACAGTAACACCGAGCTCACAGCGCAAAAGCGACAAAGCGTGTCCCCTGCTGTGTTTGCTAAAACTAAAGGTTTTGGGAGGTCTACAAATAAATAATAGCCTGCTTTAAATAAACGTGGTTTTTAATATCTACAACAGAAAACCCGAGGGAGAAAAGTCACTTGTATCAGAGGGCTGATGGTGCGAAGAGAGGGAGAGAGGGCAGAGGGAGGGAGAGAGGGCAGAGGGAGGGAGAGAGGGCAGAGGAGGGAGAGGCAAGGAGGCGAGAGGGGCAGAGGAGGGGATGGAGGGAAGGGAGGGGCAGAGGAGGGAGAGAGGGCAGAAGGGAGGGAGACAGAGTACGGAGGGAGGTAGAGAGGGGGCAGCGGGCAGAGGGTCATGCGGACGGAGGGAAAGGAGGGCAGAGGAGGGAAGAGGCAGCGGATGGGAGAGAGGGCAGCGGAAGGGAGAGAGGGCAGAGGAGGGAGAGGGAGGACGAGAGGAGGGAGAGAGGGCAGAGGAGGGAGAGAGGCAGCGTAGAACAGCGCTTTACAGAGCCCGGCTTTTCCGGAGTCAGCGGTAAAGAGGTTCCGCACATTAAAAGCGGGTGGCCGCATTCTGCTGTGTACTTTATCGTTCAATCCCCGCGGCGTCTCTTCCAAAGTTACTGTCATTAAGGCAAAACCGGACCACCCGGCTTTTAATGGTGCGGACCTCTTTACCTTGACTCCGAAAAGCCAGGGCCTCTTTAACGCCTGTTCTACAACCGGCTGCCCTCCTCTCCCGCCTCTGCCCTCTCCCCTCCTCTGTCCTCCTCTCGCCCTCCTCTGCCTCTCTCCCTCCGCTGCCTCTCAGTCCCTCCGCTGCCCTCCACCCTCTCTGGCCCTCCCTCCCTCCGCTGCCCTCCCCTCCGCAGCCCTCTCCCGCTCTCCCTCCCTCCTTCCTCTGTCCTCCCTCCCTCCTCTGGCCCTCTCTCCCTCCTCTGCCCTCCCTCCCTCCCTCCCTCCTCTGCCCACGGCTCCTCCCTGCCCTCCCTCTCTGGCCCTCTCTCCCTCCTCTCCCTCCTCCCGTCCTCTGCCCTCTCTCCCTCTCTTCGCACCATCAGCCCCTGATACAAGAGACTTTTTCCTCCCCCGTCCGGTTTTTCTGTTGTAGATATTAACCACGTTTTCATTTTAAAGCAGTATTATTTATTTTGTACCTCCAAACACCTTTAGTTTTACAACCCAACAGGCAGGACACCTTTGTCGACTGCGGCATTGTGGCTGTGTTAACGTGAGGATTTATGATTGACGCTGCATTAAGCTTTGGGGGGGGACAAATTACTAACGTTATTAAAAATATTTATAGTCCTTTTGTGTGGAAATCATCTTGCGACCCCCCAGGGTTCCCGCGACCCCCGGGGGGTCAGGACCCCCACATTTGGGAACCACTAGACTCCTATGGTCTAAACTGTGCGCTTACGATGCAGGAACCCGGGTTCGATCCAGGGCTATGTCTTAGTGTAATTATTGCATGTTATCACATTCTATGACAGATTGCTCTAAAAACGGTAAAAGATGAAGGTCAAGACGTTTTTTTGAGATTATAGCTTTAATTGTAAAAATAATCTTTTAAGACCACATGTACCCCCAAATTAAAATAATGTTAGTCTCTTTTTGATGTGGGACTTTACATGTTAGGGAAAAAATAAAATGGTAAAAAGTGATACCTCTGGAGCAAACCCGATGTTGATACGCTGAAGAAATACGTTCCACATCCATTCTTCCCACTCATATTTTGGAACTGCAATTGCTTTATTTTATTTGCATAACTATGTAGAATTAAGTGCTTTTATTTTGTTTTTGTTTTTTATCCTCAAATGCCAAATAATAATAATAAAAAAAACATTAATCAAAACATCCATCTCAGCACTTACACGGCGGTCATGGAAATGTGAATGGAGACGGACAAACAACTGAATAAATTAATGCCCTGTGTTTGGCAGCTGGATTTGGTGAGAATCGGCAACCTGAGTCAGGGAGAGTGAGTGATGGACTACAAAATATTGACTGTACTGCAGTACCACCTTTGGCCAGATTTTACATAATTGCTCCCCTTTAAGGGTCCGCGCAAGGAAGCTCGCTGTGATTGTCCGTGTGTGTGTATTGGAAGGAAGCACGGAGCGGCTGCAGCAGGAGCATGGACGAGGCACTATGGAGCTTAGAGCTATTGGGCTTCGAAGGAAAAGCAGTTTGGGGCTCAGGAGCCTGATATACAGGAGACTGTTGGACAATCTAACAATATAATTAACTTATATCTAACATATATATAACTTAGATCTAACATATAATACACCGTAATGTATACACTATTATTGTTTTGCTGTTTTTGGAGTGCTGAAAACTGTTTAATAATAAACTATTTCCAACAAGAACTGTGTCTTTATTCACCGCATCACAGGTTGAAATAGACTTATAAAATAATGAATCCATAAAACTATTGTCAGGAATTAGCAACAGAGTAGAAACTAACACTATCCACATAAACCGACAGTAGAAACACTAGGCTTAAGGCCTGCACACTTAAATATTATTCATTCCGTCTCCATACACTGGGTAAACTACAGACTTAAAACATGGGATTCAAAAGGCTCTGACTTTGTACATTTGCAATTGTAACAACATAAATAACAATTTAACTTTGGATATTCAAAGTTTTTTCTAATTATAAACACCGAAATCATGTTAGAGTGTAAAAACGTGACCCACCTCCTCAGACGCTAGACAAAGACTGAGGCGAGGCGCATGCCGCAGACTGATGGAGGCTGCTTCTGTTCTTTAATGGCGGCTAAGATCAATATTGCCCGTATACAGCCACCTACTGAACGGAGTGCTTATACTCCATGGCCTTTTGGACCACTTTTACAGTCTATTTATCATTTTTGTATGAATTAGAAAATAAAATAATGCCCTCTCTTGACTTAAACCCCTCTCCCAAAATCAGGCCCCCGCCAAGGCTGTGCGACATGTGCCGCGCACAGGGCCTCGCACCACACAGGGGCCTCGCAAATCTCCTTCCTTTTATTATGATTATAAAACACAGTTCAAGGGTCCCCAAAGGAGACTGCACTCCCCAAATTTGGAACCCTAACCCCTTCTCTGGACCCTCTTGATTTCGTTTGATCACAAGAACATTTTTTACAAGTAACGTCAAATTTTCACCAAAGCGATTTGTAAACAGCAGGCGCGCGGGCAGCTATGTATGCAACGGGTCCTCCGAAAAAACTGTCAGATAACTTTAGCAGTGTCTGAGTGAGATACAAAGAAATAACGGAATGATCGCAGTGTAGGAGAGATGGATACTCGCGGAGGAGGAGCAGTGAGACAGGTGTGGCATAGGAGCAGACCCCTTTTGTTGAGCTGAGGAGGAGGAGGAGGAGGAGGAGGAGGAGCAGTGATACAGGTGTGAGCAGAGGAAGCAGACCCTGTTGTGTGGCCGAGGAGGAGGAGGAGGAGGAGGAGGAGGACAGTGATACAGGTGTGAGCAAGAGGCAGACCCCATGTGTTGAGCAAGAGAGGTGAGGATCAGCGTGTGACAGGGTGTGTGAGCGCTGCCTATTGCCAATGTTTAGTCCGAATATCCACAATCAAAAACATATTTTTTAAAAGCCTAGCAAACTCACTGTATGTCCTAGCTTTAGCTAGCTGGAGTGTTTTTGTGTGGTCAGATGTGTGGAGATGGAGGTGTAAGAGTATTTTGTTGTTGTCATGTGGAGGAGGAGGAGTGTATGTTGTCCAAGTGTGTGAGGCATGGCAAAAACGTTATTTGATGAGAAAAAAATAATATTGACTCCGCCTCATAGCCATTTTGCGCAATTTGCCCAAATCTAACTATTAGAAGAAAAAGACTCCCTTTTGGTTCAATCTTTTGAGTTGCTCGACCATTTTGGCCACAGACGTAAGAGGACATGTCAGCTAAAAAGACCGCGACCATATTGCACCCGTAGAGAGTGTGTGCGTGTGTAACGTGCGCGCGCCAAACGCTTGGCATAGGAAGCGAAACACTCGGTTAAGCGCGTGCTGGATCACGTCAAGCACCGCGCGAGGTGGTGCTGAATGTAAATGTCAAAGATTATAACCGGAAAAAACTTTCTCAGATCCTGGGAAAAAAGTGTCAGGGCATGGCCTCCGCGTTTCGAGTTCGCACAGGCCTCGCCCCCCCCTTGGGACGAGCCCTGCCCAGAATACCCTTCCCTGCTCCACTACTGAGGATGCTCTGGGGCGCAGCGAAGGAAAGACGAGAAGGGTCTGTCTGCGGCTTTGCAGTACGGAGGCGGTCGAGTAGTAGGCGGGTCGGTAGTGACGTCACTACCCGACACGCCGACAACAGAATTTGAATCCCTCTGAACTTCATGCAAGTATCTCCGTGAAGAAGACTGGCAGACCGACGCAAACAGTAAGTGTCAACCAACACGGTTTTATTTATTTTTAGCCGTCTCTCCATTACAGTGTATTCAATGAATAAATGCACATCACCCTGACTAGAAAGTTTTTTAGAAGTGAACTAATACATTGCAGAGAAAGCAATTTTGGTATGGGTTTCTTCTAAGAGTCCATGTGCCATCGACATTCAGGTACATAGTATAATAGGTACAAGTATAATAATACAAGATAATATTGCCCAAGTCAATTTTGAATCGTTAAAATGGTAATAAGAGAAAAAAACATAACTCTTTACATGTTTTCCAAGAACATGAGAATTAGTTACAATTAAGTGATTAGCTCGCCCCCCCCCCCCCCGATGTATTCCTATCACATTACAAAGTCAACTGACCATAGGGTATTGGATGCATGTTCCAAGATATTTTGTGTTTCTGAGTGTGCACAAATGGACATGTTTTATGTCTGCTATTCAGTTGCATTCCGAGCTGATTTCAGTGAGTGGAATCAGGCTCCAGTGCTGAAGCAGGGGAACACGCTCACGTGTGTAACCGGTTTAAACAGGCGGAGAAGCACAAATCTCACCCACGACAAACCCATGAAAGGGCATCTTGTTTTGTCATGGAGCTATGTTTTTTAACTCGAATCCAGGTGTTTGCAATATTGTAACATTTGTTCTTTAAAGTGATTGGTCTAGAGTTTGCAGAAAGAAGAGACAGAGAGGTACTTGATTTGAAAAAAAAACAACCCAAGCTTCACTCCCCTTCCTTATCAGATTGTCTAGCACGCTCTTACCGGAAGTAATAGCAATATTATATATAAAGTTGTTTTACATTAGTAGGGCCCGAGCGCCACCAGGCTGGCACAGGACTATGTAATGAAAAGTGTGCATAAACACTGAACCCCCCTCAAACATACACAAGTCATGGTACATGTTTCCTGGACTTACACGTACTAAAAACTCTGCATTGCAACATTGTTGATGTACAGAGACCATAAATCAAAAGTGCAAGTCACTGACAATTAATATACCGGACAAACAACACCTTTTAGGGCTGCATTTGGTTTTTTGTGAACGGTTTTGTTAATGTAACACATTTTACTCCTTACTAGGTGACAGTTCACAACCTGGGCCGAGGCATTTCACCTGCCTCAGCAAGAGGCGAATTCGAAAAATTCATAAAGGTGCCAAAGTATGACCAAGGTAAGATTATTTAAATATTGATGGACATATTTCACGTGCACATGCACAATCTAATCCTGTGATTTGTTCTTTATTGACAGTGAGTTTAAAATGATTGCAAATGTTCAGTGAGCATTTACAGAGGAGCAGCAGGAGGCTGAAAGGCATTCCAAGAGATGGAGATTGGCGCTCTCCTCTGAAGCCTTTCTCTCATGATAATAATAAAAGAGAATTTGTTTTGTGTTGAACTTATTCAGTGTCTACATTTCAGAGCCATTCAGATAACACAAATTCATAAAAAAGCATGTACATAAAATGCCAGAAATACAATTTGTTCTTTTGTTTAATCTCACTCTTCTACATACAAATTTGACAAACACAATAGGTAATGAGTGTCTGCTTGTCCCAAAAGGCCAAAGTTGGGCACAAAAATGTTATGGCTTTTCTCTTTATGAATCAGTATGTGGAGACCATGGGGGTAGAGTGTGTGGTGGTGGTGGTGGTGTAATAATATATCTTTAACTAGTAATGTACTATTTCAATCCTGTGTTGACAATTCTCAACAACGCCACACTACTTTATTCATTTATTCCACACAGTGTGTCCACACTGGGTTGGAGGATGCCAGTCTACTAAACTGTGCTATTTGGCCACCACCAAGCCGTTCTCTCACTATGTCCACACATGTGGGTGAAGTGCATTGCTCAAGAACAAACCAGACTGCACTTGGGGCTGCCAGGATTTGAGCCACCAACCATAGGCCCTTTAATAAATGAATGTACACATTATACATAAGCACTGGCATTAGTTGAACTCATTAACTTTTGTCCTGAGCTGCTTCAAATCCCTATTGAATGAATAGTCTGAAGGTAATGGCATCTTTTGTAGCCAAATTACTACTTGAATATTGACAAAATGTCGTCCATTTTCCCCCACTACAGAATATTGACAATGACAGCGCCATAAATACTTAATGCCGCTTAAATTCATTGGGCATAGATATTACTCACTACTACTGCATACCCGTATTATAATAGATCCATGCACATCACGCGGATGGGCGGTGTCGCGTATGACGTCACTACCCGACACCCCACAACTCGACACGCCTCCGTACTGCAGGGCCGCAACATATACACTTAAAAAGTCTTAAAACTCTTACATCGATCTAATCCCAAATAAGACACATGATTTTGCCTAATTTCAGCAGTTTTAGACTATTTTTCTCATCATTTTCACTCATGTTCTGCTCTGGCCCTCACAGAACGCTCCGGGTCAATCTCTCCGATCTGTGGACATCATACTAAACCCCGCCCCTTGTCATCAGCACAAACCACAAAAACAACCCAATATTATTTAAAAATGACTTTTATGCAAGTTGAAGAATACGACTTGTGGACACATTCGTAACAGGCGAGCCGTACAAGAGAACCGTCATCTAATGACTTTAAAAGAAACCCAGATCCTAGAAGAAGACACAACCCAAGGAATCCTGTCGCACAAACCCAACATGAGAACAAGCTTTCCTGGTTATCAGCCAGAAAATGGAGTAAAAAATATATCTCCAAAACTCCCAGACAGATTTCCCGTTTCATCTGCAGCGTAGAGAGGGAGGAGAGACTTGTTTAAATGACGTATATACAAAGTGGTAACCATGGAAACGGTGGAGATCTTCCATTCAGTCGTCTAAAAACAAGCATATACAAATATAACAGCAATGCAGAGGTTTGAACCGGGCCAACGCGGGAAAAGGTGAGATTATGTAAAAGCCTTTGAAAGTTAAAGTAAAAATGTATAAAACACGGCATCAGTGCTTTGTATCTCCGGCGGGGGGGGGGGGGGGGGGGGGGGGGGGGGGGGGGGGGGGGGGGGGGCCTGTGGCTAAAAGTTTATTTCATACAATTTTATACAAAATAAAACTGAAATGTTAAGATTAGATTCGAACTGAACTCATTTAAACGATATCCTGATATTTGATGTTTTTTATGTTAAGATGTGTTTAGGTGAGAATTACTATTTTCACTGTTTAGACAGAGAGAGACCCTAGAGACCAGAAGAGAGACCAGAGAGAGAGACCAAGAGAGACCAGAGAGAGACCAGAGAAGAGACCAAGAGAGGCCAGAGAGAGGCCAGAGAGAGGCCATAGAGAGAGGCCAGAAGGAGAGACGCAGAGAGAGACCAGAGAGAGACCAGAGAGTGAGACCAGAGAGAGAGACCAGAGAGAGACCAGAGAGAGACCGGAGAGAGGCCAAGAGGAGAGGCCAGAGAGAGACCAGAGAGAGACCAAGAGAGACCAGAAGAGACAGAGAGAGAGCCAGAGAGACCGAGAGAGACCAGAGAGATGCCAAGAGAGCGACCAGAGAACAACCAGAGAGTACATCAGAGAGAGAGCCCAGAGAGACCAGAGAGAGACCAGAGAGAGACCAGAGAGACCAGAGAGAGAGAACCAGAAGACACCAGAGAGACACCAGAGAGCAGAGACCAGAGAGAGAGACCGGAGAGAGACCAGCGAGAGACCAGAGAGAGACCCTGAGAGAGAACCAGAGAGAGAGACAGAGTGAGAACCAAGAGAGACCATAGAGAGAGACCAGAGAGAACCAGAGAGATACCAGAGAGAGACCAAAAGAGACCAGAGAGAGACCAGAGAGAGACCAAGAGAGACCACTGAGTCTGATTCGATTTTCTATTCCAGTGTCGACGACATCACAACTTGGTAAAGTCCTTTGACGAAGGCTAAAAACATAGAAAGAATTGTGTGATGAAAAACAGGTAAACATTATTTATTAGAAACTTAAAGTCTGCTGAACCTATAGTTTTGTTTCGAGACTGAACTGTTGTTTGTCGCGATAGAAAAAGTGTGAGAAATGGTGTTTTCTATTAGTGGATAAATCCGACGTATCTCCCCCAGGTCATTGTGCTGACGGATCCAATCCGTCCCCTGTGAGTCACTATTTGACCCTTTGGCTCAGACATAGAAATAAGTATTAGATTTTTACAGGAGCTTTGAAAATAGAGACCCAGCTTTAAGATCTCGAACAAATGTTAATGCTATAATAACCACGTGGAACTCTGAGGAGCACAGGGACTGGCCTCTGCTGTGACGCTGAGGAGCACAGGGACTGGCCTCCTGCAGGGACTCTTGAGAGCACAGGGACTGGCCTCCTGCTGGGACTCTGAGGAGCACAGGACTGGCCTCCTGCTAAGACTGAGGAGCACAGGGACTGGCCCTCCTGCTGGGACTGAGGAGCACAGGGACAGGGCCTCCTGCTACGACTCTGAGGAGCACAGGGACCTGGGCCTCCTGCTAAGACTCGAGGAGCACAGGGACTGGGCCTCCTGCCTGGGACTCTGAGGAGCACAGGGACTGCCTCCTGCTAAACTGAGGAGCACAGGGACTAGGCCTCCTGCTGGAACACTGATGTGCACAGGGACTGGCCTCCCTGCTGGAACTCGAGGAGCACAGGACGGGTCCTCCTGCTGGGACTGAGGAGCACAGGGACTGTCCTCCTGCTGGGACTCTGAGGAGCACAGGGACTGGGCCTCCTGCTAAGACCTGAGGAGCACCGGATGGCCTGCCTGCCTGGGACTCTGAGGAGCAAGGGACTGGGCCTCCTGCTGGGACTGAGGAGCACAGGGACTGGCCTCCTGCTGGGACTCTGAGGAGCACAGGGACTGGCCTCCTGCTGGGACTGAGGAGCACAGGGACTGGTCCTCCTGCTGGGACTGAGGAGCACAGGGACAGGTCCTCCTGCTGGGACTCCTGAGGAAGGCCACAGGGACTGAGCCTCCTGCTCGGGAAAGGACTGAGGAGCACAGGGACGGCCCCTGCGGGACTCTGAGGAGCACAGGACTGGCCTCCTGCTGACTCTGAGGACACAGGGACTGGCCTCCAGCTGGACTCTGAGGAGCACAGGGACTGGTCTCCGCTGGTCCCAGAGTCAGGACTAAACATGGGGGAGGCTGTGTTTTCAGATTTTATGCAGGCTAAAAACAGTCTTCCAGAATACGTGTAACGGGCAATATTCTAATCCAGTTTAAAAACAGGATTTAATCCTGACTTTCGATTTAAAGCCTTGTCCCTTGGTGATTCCGTGTGTGGACTGTGCAATACCAATAACCTTGCCTACTGCTAAAGGGTTTATGAACTTATGACATCTGTGGGACTTTTCCGGCGTGGCCTCGCACCAGCATTTTTTGTGGGTACAATTTGAGTAAACTTCTGAACCATCAAAACGACAGAATAAAAATAACATATGGTACAGAGGTAGAATAACGGATACAGGGTAGAAAAATAAAAGAATAGCAGAATACAGACAGGTAACAGAACCCATGAACAGAACCATGAACAGAACCATGAACAGAACCATAACACGCTCGAGCAGAGGAGTCCTTCTGTGTCCGTCCCTAAAAACAACAAAAGTTCACAACCTGGTCTCCCCTGTCCTTCCCCTGAACCCCCCTGGTCCTCTCCCCTGGTCTCACACCGGTCTCTCACCAAGTGGTCCTCTCCCCTGTCTCATCCCCATGGTCTAAACCATTCAATCCAAACGGGGAGGAAAACAAAAAGATGCAACTGTGATTTCCGTGGACAACTAAATTGGCGTCTGGTGCCCGAGAAGCATTCACGTCCCCTAGTACAACAAACCTGCTTTCTTCTTCTACAAGCACCACTTTCTCAGGACGGACGCAGCCAATCAGAGGAAGCAGTCACGTCCAGACACCTGGAGCACGCCGTCCATGTGGATGGAACTCTTTGGGCCAGATTGTGAACTTTGTTGTTTTTTAGGACGGACACAGAATGACTCCTCTGCTCTGAGCGTGTTCATGGTTCTTTCATGTTCTGTTCATGGTTCTGTTCATGGTTCTGTTCACACTGTATGTATTCTGTATTCTTTTATTTTTACACCTACCGTATCTACATGTACATAGTTTATATTTTATTCTGTCGTTTGATTGGTTCAGAAGTGTACCTCAAATTGTACCACAAAAAATGCTGGTGCGAGGCCACGCGGAAAAGTCAATGATGACATATGTTCGTAACCCTTTAGCATTAGGCACAGGTATTGGGTATAGCACAGTCCACACACAACGCAACGGCAACTGCACAAGACAAGGCTTTAAATCAGAAAGTCAGGATTAAATCTGTTTTTACCTGGATTTGAATATGCCCGTCACACGTTTTTGGAAGACTGTTTTTAGCTTGCATAAAATCTGAAACACTGCTCCCCATGTTTAGTCGCTGAACTCGGGACCAGCAGGGAGACCAGTCCCTGTGCTCCTCAAGTTCCCAGGCAGAGGGCCCAAAAAGTTTTTTCCCCCCTTGCTCACTCAATCCAGCAGGAGGCCAGTCCCTGTGCTCCTGCAGAGTTCCCAGCAGAGGCCAGTCCCTGTGCTCCTCAGAGTCCCACAGGAGGGCAGACTCCCTGTGCTCCTCAGAGTCCCCAGCAGGAGACCAGATACCCTGTGCTCCCTCAGTCCCAGCAGGAGACCAGTCCCTGGTGCTCCTCAAGTCCCAGCCGGAGGCACAGACCCCAGTGCCCTCAGAGTCCCAGCAGGAGGCCAGTCCTGTGCTCCTCAGTCCCCAGCAGGAGCCAGTCCCTGTGGCTCCTCAGAGTCCCCTACAGAGGCCATCCCTGGTGCTCCTCAGAGTCTTAGCAGGAGGCCAGACCCTGTGCTCCCAAGTCCCATCATTAGACCAGTCCCTGTGCTCCTCAGTCCCAGCAGGAGACCAGTCCTGTGCTCCTCATCCCCCAGCAGGAGGCCAGTCCCAGTCTCATCAGAGTCCCACAGGAGGCCAGTCCTGTGGCCCTCATCTTAGCAGAGGCCATCCTAGTGCTCCTCAGAGTCCACTGGAGGCCACCCTGTGCTCCTCAGAAGTCTTAGGCAGGAGGCCATCCCTGTGCTCCTCAGAGTCTTAGCAGAGAGCCAGTCCCTGTGCTCATCATCCCAGCAGGAGCCAGTCCCTGTGCACCCAGCATCTTAGCAGGAGGCCAGTCCCTGTGCTCCACAGAGGCCCATCAGGAGGCCAGTCCCTGTGCACCTCAGAGCCCAGCAGAGCCAGTCCCGTGTGCTCCTCAGATCACAGCAGTAGGCCAGTCCTGTGCACCTCAGTAGTTCCCAACGGGTTCCTATATTAGCATAAACAGTTGGTGCGAGACTTAAAGCTGTGGTCTCTATTTTCAAAGCTCATGTAAAAATCAATACCTATTTTCCTGTCTGAGCCCAAAGGTCAAATAGTGACTCACAGGTAAAACTGTTTGGATCACTTCAGCAGCAATGACCTGGAGATGACGTCGGATTTATCCACAATAAACACATTTCTCACTACTTTTTCTATCGCGACAAACAACATTTCAGTCCTCGAAAAACAAAACTTTAGGTTTCAGCAGCTTTAAGTTCTAATAAATAAGGTTTTTAACTGTTTTTCATCACCACAATTCTATCTATGGTTTTTTAGCCTCGTCAGAAGGACCTTTACCAAGTTGGTCGATTCGTCGACACAAACGGATCAGAAAAATCAACAGACACAGTGTCTCTCTCTGTCTCTCTCTGGTCTCTCACTGTGTCTCTTATCTGGTCTCTCTCTGGTCTCTCTCTGGTCTCTCTCTGGTCTCTCCACTCTGGTCACTCTCTGTCTCTCTTCTGGTCGCTCTACTCCGGTCTCCTCTCTGAATCTCTGGGCTCTCTCTGGCAGCTCTCTCTGGTCTCTCTCCCTGGTCCTCTCTCTCCTGGTCTCTCCTCTCAGGAGTGTCTCTCGGTGTCTCTCTGGTCTCGTCTCGCGTGGTCTCTCTGGTCTCTCTCTGGTCTCTCTCTGGTCCCCCCCTCTCTGGGGCTCTCTCTCTGATGTCTCATCTGGGGTCCTCGTCTGGTCTCCTCTCTCTGGCCTCTCTCCAGGTCCTCTCTGGTCCTCTCTCAGGCCTCTCTCTCTGGTCCTCGTCTGGTCCTCTCCTCTGGTACTCTCTCTGGTCTCTTCTCCTGGCCTCTTCCTCCTTCTGGCCTCTTCTGGTCTCTCTCTGGTCCTCTCGCTGGTCTCCTCTCTGGTCCTCACACTCTGTCCTCTCTCTGGTCTCTCTCTGGTCTCTCTCTGGCCTCTCTCTCTGGCCTCTCGTCTGGCCACTCACTGCCTCTCTCTGGTCTCTCTCATGGTCTCTCTCTGGTCTCTCTCTGGTCTCTCTCTCATGGTTCCTCTCTCTGGTGCCTCTGTCTCTCTCTGGTCTTAACAGTGGAAAATAGTAAATCTCCACCTAAACAACATCTTAGACATAAAAAACATCAAATATCAGATAAAGATTCAATAGGTCAGTTCGGAATCTCATTTAACATTTCGGTTTTATTTTGTATAAATTGTATGAAATAAACTTTTAGCACAGGTCAAAAGCACTGAGCCGTTTTTATAGGCTTTTACTTTCAATTTCAAAGGCTCATAATCTCACCTTTCCCGCGTGGGCCGGATTCAAACCTCTGCCTTGCGTATATTTTTATTGCTGTTTTTTGCCGACTGAATGGAAGGATCTCACCGTTTCCATGGTTACCACTTTGAATATACGTACCATTTTAAAACAAAGGTCTCCCTACCTGCCCTCCTCTCTACGATGCAGATTAAAGGGAAATGTCTGGGACGTTTTTGGGATATATATTTTTTACTACCATTTTCTGGCTGATAACCAGGAAAGCCTCTGTTCTCGGATTTTGGGTTTGTGCGACAGAATCCTGGGTTGTGTTCTTCTTCTAGGATTGTGTTTCTTTCTAAAGATCATTATTGACGGGTTCTCTGTACGGCGCCTGTTAGAATGTGTCCACTAAGTCCTATGCTCACTTGGCATAAGGGTCATTTTTTAAAATAATATGGTTTTGTTTTTTGTGTTTGGTGCTGAATTGACAAGGGGGCGGGGTCTAGCTATGAATGTCAACAGAGCGGAGAGATTCGACCCGAGCGTTCTGTGAGGCCAGAAGCAGAACATAGAGTGAAAAGTGATGAGAAAATATCTCAATGCTGAAATTAGGCAAAACATGTGTCTTAAATGTGGGATTAGAAGATCGATTTAAGAGTTTTTAAGAAGAGACTTTTTCAAGTTATCTTGTCTGCGGCCTGCAGTAACGGAGGCGTTCAGTAGTGGCGTGTCGGGTAGTGAACGTCACTACTCGACACGCCCCCACAACTCCCGCGTGTATGAGCAAGGATCCTATTTATAATACCAGGTATGAGTAGTAGTGAGTACTATCTTATGCCCAATGAATTTAGCGCAATAATGAATTTTATGGCGAAAATGGGTCTTGTCAATATTATTTTATTGGGGTAAAATGGACGAATTTTGTAAATATCAAAGTGTAAATTTTGCTACAAAAGCTTGCCATTACTTCAGACAATCAATCAATAGGGAATTGAAGCAGCTCAGGACAAAAGTTAATGAGTCGAATAATGCCAAGTGCTTATGTTCTAATGTTACATAGTCATTGTATAAAGGGGCCTATGGTTGGTGCTCAGATACCTGGCTGCCCCAAGTGCAGTCTGGTATGTTCGTGAGCAATGCACGTTCACCCCACATGTGTGGACATAGTGAGAGACTGCTTGTGGTGGCCAATAGCACAGATTAGTAGCCTGGCATCCTCCAAACCCAGCTGTGACACACTGTGTGGAAGATATGAATAAAGTAGTGTGGCGTTTTGAGAAACTTGTCACACAGGATTGAAAAGTACATTACTAGTTAAAGATATTAGTACAGAACCACCACCACCACCACACACTCCTACACCCATGGGGCTCCACATTACTGATCATAAGAAACATGCCATAACATTTTTGTGCCCAACTTTGGCCTTTTGGGCAAGCAGACCATACTTTATCTATTAGTGTTTAGTCAAATTTGTAGTAGAAGAGGGAGATTAAACAAAAAAGAACAAATTGTTTCTGGCATTTATGTACAAGCTTTTTTATGAATTTGTGGTTATCTG